TATCTATCATATTTATCTATCCCATCATCTAAATCTTTCTGTGTTTGATTTTTTCTTCCTGTCTACATTTTGAATGAAACGACTTTTCTCAATTTGAATTTATTGGAAAACATGGATGTCTTTCTTCTCACCCGCCTTTTCCTCCCTATCTTGAATTACTCGTAATTTTTTTGTTTTTTAAATTTTGAATGAAACGAGCTTTTTCAATTTGAATTTTGGAAAACATGCTGTTTGTTCCATTTTAAAATTAATTTTTTAAGTTTAAATTTCTTTTTTTCGTCTTTGCTTTCTTTCTTTTAAAAAATTTTTCATAACCATGATTGCTTTCTTTCTTTGATTCTGTCTTGTTCGTTTCTTTCCACCTCTCGCCGGAAGTGGATCGACGCTGGATTCTGCGACTTACAGGTGCGTCAATTATTCTCTTCCGTCCGCTTAGCGTCAGCGGAAGTAGCCAGAATCCGCTGCAAATTTAATTGTAAGCTTTTCATCGATCAGATCTAGAAATCGTTGTGTGATGATTGAAAACACATGTCGGCGGTCGAAGAATTCTTTTTTTTTCTTTCTTTTTAATATTTATCTATCTGATCCATTCCCTCCCTTTTTTTCTGAGTGTATCCTCTTCTCTTCCTTCGACCCTTTCTCCTCTTTTTCGTTTCCTTCCGGTCTTGTCTTTCACATTTTTCTTCTTCCTTTCTTTCTCACTTCCGGTTTGTTATTTTTTTTTACTTTACTATTTCAGTCTTCACTTTATGAAGATGATGATGGTGACCGCTTTTTCTTAAAAAAAAAAAAAAAAAAGCATAATTTATCCTTCTATGTTCCGTGTCTCTCCAAGACTTGGGTGATCGTGGCTCTCCAAAACATTCTATTCCTTGTGACCCTTGTGATGATGTTCAATATAGAATAAAGGGTTTGAACCTTTTAAAACCCTTTATTCTATATATATATATAATGCTCTAGAGTGAGTGGCTTGGTGAGAGTAGTCATGGCTCCAGGGGGCACAGTCCTATGATTACAGAGAACTCAGTAGAGTTCCACCACGGAATATGTGAGCGAGCGGCGCTATATTGAATCTGATTTGCAATCTCTTTGTCATCGTGGCCCTGTGGAACTCTTGGTATGATGTTTGCTTGACAATCTAACTGTCAGGGTTTCAATTCTCGGTAGTGGATGCGCACTGCTGATGAGTCCCAAATATAAGACGAAACGGCCGTCCAGTGCTTTCTGCATTCTCTTGAGGTTTCTATCAGACTCGATGAATTAATTTTTTTTTTTTTTATATATATATATATATATATATATATATATATATATATATATATATATATATATATATATATATATATTATATATATATATATATATATTCAGACAAATATAACGAACAACGAATTCAATTATGTTTGATCATCGTATAATGGCTTTAGTTTCAAGACAAAATAAAGGCAAGACTTGGGTGATCGTCGCTCTCCAAAACATTCTATTCCTTGTGGCCCTTAGCTAACTTTTGCTAATGCCTCCGTCCTCCGTTCCGCCATCCATTCATAAAGCTCGTCAGGTAGGTGATCCGTATCTCTCTTGTCCTCAACGTGACATGTGGGGGTGAAGTTTTCCACCTCCACTTCCTCATTATGAGTTCAAGGAATTTCGCGGGTCCTTTCCTGATTCTGAGCATCAGCGATAGTTTCTCCTTAAGTGGAATGCCTGATGCACGCTTGGGCGATCATGTTTGTTTTTTGATTCATGATTGCTGTTAATTTTTGCTGTAGATTGATTGCCAGCCAAAGCTATATGAATCCAATTTGTCTTGCTATTTAACCCATAACTGGGGGGAGAAGAGATGGATTCATACATTTCTCAAGTCTATTTGCGCGTAAGTGAATGCAACAATCTCGACTGGAATTCATACTAGGCTCTCCGACTTTTCATTTTGAGCCGTTATCCATTTACACGCGGAATCTAAAAATCAGCATTCAGAATCTTCGTCTCAAAAAGCGACAATAGCAACAAATACACAACTATATCAGCTAGTAAGCAAATCTGTTTCTAAAAAAAAAAACAATGTCTATGCATAAAAAATGAAGTAGTTTGAAACAGGATTTCAGAACGAGAAGAAAAAAAGAATGCATAAGAGGAAAGTTTTAGAGAGAGAGAGAGAGGGAGAGAGAGAGAGAGAGTGAACAAGAGAGCGAGAAAGAGAGAGAGAGAGAAGTGGAAAAGTAAGACAGAAGGCTAGATAAATAGAAAAAGAAACATCGATAAACAGAAATATAGACAGAAGTTAAGATAAAAAATGAACGAAATAGACAAAAAGAAAGACGATGAAAGAGAGATGTGTTGAGCGAGAGAGAGAGAGAGAGAGAGAGAGAGAGAGAGAGAGACGTGGGAAAGGAAAGCAGAAAGAGAGATGAATAGAAAAAGAAACAGCGATCGACAGAAATATAGACAGATAGATGTTAACATAAAAATGAACGAAATAGACGAAACTAAAGAAAGAAGATAAGAGGGAGAGGGACAGAGGGTGAGAAAGAACGAGAAAGAAAGAGGGAGAAGTGTGAAAGGAAGACAAAAAGAGAGATGAAAAGAAAAAGAAACAGCGATAGACAGAATTATCGAGAGATAGATGTTAAGATAAAAATGAACGAAAGTGAGAAAGAAAATGTGATAGAAAGAGAGAGAGGGAGAGATTAATAGAGAGAGAGAGAGAGGGTTAGGGGTGAGCAAGAGAACGAGAAAGAGAGAGAGAGAGAGAAGTGGAAAAGGGAGACAAAAGTAGAGATGAATAGAAAAAGAAACAGCGATTGACAGAAATATACACAGACAGTAAGATAAAAATGGACGATATTATATATATATATATATATATAGAGAGAGAGAGAGATAGAGAGAGTGAGAGAGAGAGAGGTGATGTACGTAGATAATTTGTTACTTATTTGTTTGATATTTTTCATACTGGATACGAAAAAATATGCCAACAATGAAAGTAAAAAAAAATTCTTTGGCAATTTAAATCACTAATAAATTTACGCTTACTTTTATGACAATATAAAAACGATTTGATACGTGTTTTTTTAGATAATTGTTATTTATCTTTCGTTCGTTATAAGAATAATTTCGATTCAATTAAAAAGTATTCAAATCAATTCAAACTACAAAAAAAAAAAAAAAAAAAAAATGAATGGGTATTTTTTTTATATCATTGACGATCATTTCCTGTAATAAATATGTTATAATTTTTTTTTTCAACTTTCCTATTCTACACCGAACCGAAGGAGAGATATAACTGAGTTTTAAAGCGGAAAATATACACTAATTTGTTCCAAGGGAAAAATACAAGAAGAAAATTGGTTTCGACTGTTGCGGTTTGCATTCTGCATTCTGGGCTCGATGAATTACTATATATGATTACTCTAAAAAATTCTTCGCTATATGTAATTCGCGATACCTGAGGTTTAAAATGATAAGAAATCTTTGTAGAAGTTTTATTTTAGTTTTACTTTCAAGTGAAAAGATTAAATTTAATATTTTCAATGAGCAAAATACAAATACTTTTATGTATTTTAAAACTAATTTAAAGTTTTTTTTTTAATAAAAAATTGATTTTATCGCCATTTTTTAGACTTCGTTTATTGCAATGTAATTCAATATATTAAAAAAAAATCTTCCAAAAATAAAATATACTTTTCCGAAATTTTATTTGAGAAATATTAGCTGATTTAAGGTATAATTAATCTGATTTAAATCAAATATTATTTACTTTACTTTTATTTAAGTTTAAAGTATCGCAGAAAATCCGTTTTTTTAACCCGGCTGTAACTGTTTATTTAAGGGGTTGACTTGTTGACAGCATGATGACAAATCTAATATTCTTCTACGGGGATTTTATCTGTGAAACATAATTAAAGAAAATAACGTGAGCGCCTTTTATATATAACTTTTAAGTACCCAATAATCTTAAAAAATATAGTAAAATATTACACTTAATCTAATGTTTTATTGAATTCTAGAAATGTTGCCTTTAAATTTACTATAGTTATCGTTCTTATTTTCCGATAATGTCGTTTATTGTCGCCGGGTATTGAACTCACACTCTTTGGGTCCTGTCACTGTGTGACACCATTTAGGGATGCAAGGAAAAGGAAGAAAAGAAGGGAAAGAAATGAAATTTTGATAATGAAAAATGGTGAAGGGTTTCATTGTCATTGTCGAGAATTCTAAATAGATAAAAAAAATAACGGTGTCGTGGTGGCGAACTTATATTATCAGAAAAATGGCGAAGCCGTTCCATCGTATCAGTGGTTGGCGCCGAGAAGTGAATGCGTCTGTTTAGACCAGCCACTTCGTTGACAAGTTCCAGATCGGCTAGCTAAACTCCGGGACAGAATAGATAAACTGTGTCACGGGAATGCCATTTGGGGCTTCCACAGAAAACTACAGAGATAAAAATTTAATAGGTCGCCCGTTGACCACACACGAACTGAAAAAAAAACAACAACAAAAAAAACAAAACAAAGAAAATAGGTTAAGTCTTTGTCGATGGAAAGATATCGTTAGACAAGGTATCTGGGTTGTGTTAGAATCTGGCGGTGACAGCGAATCTATTTTATCAGAAAAGTTGGCTGTGTTTCGCTAGATGACCACCCACCTGATAATTGGCGAAAATCTGATTGACGAAGTCCAGATGAAAGTGACTTTGGGTTAGGAATTGAGATTATTACACTACGGGTTCTGTTGGCGGCCAGAGAAGAAGAGAGAAAAGAAAAGAAAAGAAAGAAAGGAAATAGAAAAAAAAAAGAGGAGATAATTTTTTTCTTTGAGCAAGATATTTTTTTAAGAAACAAGGCTAGTCTGGTCACACCCACACTGTTGATAGGCCACTGGATGAATGTTAACGAGAGCCAGGCGGAGGTGATCATGTGATGCAGGGGGAGGCCTGCTACCACTCATTAAAGAGGATAGGTATGAGATGTTACTGCGAAGAAGTAGGAAAATCGTTGACG